GTCAGGCTCCGTGCTGACAGCTCAGAGCCTGGAGCCTGCTTCAGATTCTGTGTCTCTCTCTCTCTCCGCCCCTCCCCCACTCATGCGTGCGCGCACGCGCGCGCTCTCTCTCTCTCTCTCAAAAATAAACATTAAAAAAAAATACATGCATGGGAATTATGCATGTAAGATCTGGTGAAACCCTGAAGTCTATAGTTAATGCCACTTAGCAGCGTCCCAAGCCTGGTTTTCCTAACATATTGTGGTTATATACGATGTTATCACTGGGGAAAGCTGGGCGAAGCGTATATGGGAACAACCTGTACTATTTTTACAGACTGCTGTGAGTCTTAAATGGTTTTAAAATAAAAATTAATAGTTTTTCTTTCTAAAAACAAGGCCGAATCAAAGAGATCGTCCAACCTGGTTAACTTTTATTTTAGCGGTGGCCTCCCTCCCCCGACCCTCAGCAGCCCGCGGGCGTCTCCTGACACCTGTAGGGCCCCGTGAAATACCAACTCCAAAGTGCTGACCCAATCCCTTCAGATTCCCGATGAGGAAATCAGAGCCCAAAGAAGTCAGGCACACCACTAGCTAGCAGCCATGGATAGGAACAGAAAGAACCTGAGAGCTTTTTAGGACAGCTGTTCTCTGTAAATCATCGTAAGTCATGGCTCTTTAGCTAACAGTGTGGTTTCGTTTGTCAGAGGAGGTGAGATTAATTCAACTGGAAATGAGTGTCCGTGCTCCTGCATTCCATTTCCATGGAGGGAGAGATGAACTGTCCTTACGGGCAAAGCAGTACACAGTCGGGTTGGGTTGGCGGGTGGTTTCACGGTTTACCACCCGGCGCGGGTCACTTGCCTGGGAAGGCCAGTCTGGGGCAGAGGACAGGAACCCAGGACCCCAGAGGAAGTCGCCTGCCTTCTTGCCAACTTGGCTTCCGTCCCAACCACCTGTGAGCCCCAAAGTTGATCAGCTTTCCTCTTGCTCTCTTCCCATTCTGGCCCACGTCCACTATTACTGGAAAACCTTGGGCATCTTGGAGTTTCCTTCTAAGGATAGTATAACTGTAATAATCTTGTATTTGTCTAGGGATTTTCAGGTTGCAAAGCCCTCACTCATGTTCCCTAAGATAAGCCCCACCCCCAGACTACGACATAGGCAGACTGGCTTTATTTCTGCTTTTAAAAATGCGTGACATGGCTTGTCCAAGGTGGAATTTGTATCAAAACTCAAGTCAGAACACAGGTCTCCAGAATCCTGGTAAATGCTCTTTTTGTAGGAGAGGTCTTGGTCATTGTAAAGCACTCGCACGCACTTGATGATCAACGAACAGGTTGACAGTTATTACTGTCGTTATCGTAGACCTGATCTTTGGCCACTCATGATTTTGGAGTGTGAGGACTCCCAAGACTTGGTCATCCTTCACTCTTCTACAGAAGGTGGAAGTGATGGTTTCCTCTCTTCCTACACCTCCAAACGGTTAGAGCCTAAAGATGCCATTTGGGGACCAGATGAGTAGGACTTAGATTTTCCTGAAAAGTGAAGCAAGTTGCCTGTGTGCCACATCAACAGAGATCTGAGTGACAACCGACTGGCAGGACAGCCGCCCTGGAGCTGCCTGACACACCCAGGCTCCAGAGGGCTGTGTGTGAGCTGCCGTGCCTTATTTAGTGCCTGCTGTTGATGCCTTCCTTCTGCAGGGAGAACTGCCTGATTCCTTTCCTCTAGCACCCTGTTTGCCCTCCACGTGGTGGGACGTAACCTTTACTGTCAACATGAGAACTTTTAATTGATCCTGACATTGTTCTGTGCCCTTGACGTTCTGCCTAACATCTGGGAGATTGGAGAAATGGTGGGATGCTCTAACGGAGGAAGGCTAAGCCCATACTTGGGACCATATTCGCAGCTACTACTTGTTAAGGAAAATAATCTCCCAAGGATGGCATTGATCTTTCACACCCTAAGAGACATTTAGAAAGTAAACTAATGACCTACCTCAATATTGCTAACCATCTGCACACACCTGTAACTAGCACCTATTAGGCACTTACTAGATCTTTAGGAAATGACCTTCTAAAGGCCCTCAGTCTTTATGTGCCTGCCAACATTAGGATCACCTGAAGGATTTGTTGAACCATGAACCTTGAGGCCTCACATAGAGAGTTTCTGATCCATTCAGTATGGAGAAGGGCTTAATAATTTCTGACAAGTTCCAGGTGATGCTGGTGCCTTGTAGAGACCATATTTTGAAAACCATGATCTGAAGCAGAGGCAGGTAAAGTTGTTTGTTGTGTTGTGTTTTGTTTTGTTTTGTTTTGTTTTGTAAGGGCCAGATAGATAATATTTTAGGCTTTGTAGCCATATTTTAGGCTTTGTGGGCTCTGTCACAACTACTTAACTCCGCCATGGTAGCCACAGAAAATATATAAATGAGTGAGCATGGCTGTGTTCTAATAAAACTTTATTTACAAAACAGGTAGTAGGCTCGTTTTAAAAAATGTGTTGAAAATATAAAACTTTGTTTGAAAATATGTTAAGATCCTGGATGGATTTTTTTCAAAGCTCTTGGATGGGAATCAGTGTTAAAGATGCAAACGTTGGTCGGATCCTATCTGAGCCCTTCCCTGGCCACGTGACTTTGAAGGTCACTAATGCCTCTGCAGACTGAAGATAATAATACAGGGAAAAATGAAATGTTAACATGTATCGAGTCTGGTGCTTGCATGTTTAGCGTAATATTCTTTATAAGATTCTGCATGATTGAAATATTCTAGAATTTTAAGTTTTATGACTTTATTTTTTTTTTATTTTTAAAAAAAATTTTTTTTTAACGTTTATTTATTTTTTTGGGACAGAGAGAGACAGAGCATGAACGGGGGAGGGGCAGAGAGAGAGGGAGACACAGAATCAGAAACAGGCTCCAGGCTCTGAGCCATCAGCCCAGAGCCCGACGCGGGGCTCGAACTCACGGACCGCGAGATCGTGACCTGGCTGAAGTCGGACACTTAACCGACTGCGCCACCCAGGCGCCCCTAAGTTTTATGACTTTAAAAAGTAACTATGGTTGACGCTTGAACAACATAGATTTGAACTACATGAATCCACATATACATGGATTTTGTATTACTTTCTCTTCTGTTTTTCTTAACATTTATTTTCCTCTAGTTTCATTACAAGACTACAGTATATATGACCTATAGCGTACAAAATGTGTTAATCAACTATTTTATGTTCCTGGTAAGGCTTCCAGTCAACTGTAGGCTATTAGTAGTTAAGTTTGGGAGGAGTCAAAGTTATACATGGATTTTCAACTGTGGGGGAGTGGGTGTCGATACCCCTAACTCCCTCCTCCCCCCTGCATTGTTCAAGGGTCGGCCGTGTAATTCATTGGCATATGTGGCCTAGATTTTAGACTCTAAAGTCAACCAAAAGATAAGTCACCTTATAGAATCAAAATCACCTTTGGAATTCCCTCAAGTCACCACCAGCATCTAGGCTTTTAGAAAGTCAAAAGCCAAGAGTATCTTTCTTTCGTGTATACACAGCACTAGACTAACGGGATAAGTCAAGCTTATCTTGCCTGCAGTGGAGCTCTTGACCTCATGCCCATCCCCAAAGCCTTGTTCCTCTTTTGTCTTCTCTTAGTTCAGTCAATGGCAGCTCTGTAGTTACAGCTGATTGGGCCACCAAAAATGATTCAGGAGGAGGAGTTTAACAAGGAAGTGCCCTGATAAACAGACTTGAGTATGAATTTTTTTTTTTTAATGTTGGTTTATTTTTTGAGAGAGAGCAGGGGAGGGGCAGAGAGAGAGGGAGACATAGAACCCAGAGCACTGTCAGCACAGAGCCTGATGCGGGGCTTAAACTCACAAACCGTGAGATCATGATCTGAGCCGAAGTCAGATGCTCAACCGACTGAGCCACCCAGGTGCCCCTGAAATTTTTTTTTTAATATTTCAAGTAGGACATGAAAGTCTTTCTGCTCAACCCTCTATGTTTGCATATTAGTAATGGAGATCCAAGAAGCAGAGGGGCTAATCTACCTAGATAGACCCACCCAAGCATTTAACAAGACTGACTTGTCTTCGTGACAGCTCTGTAAGATGGGTACTGTTAATTTCCCAGTTTGCAGTTGTGGAGGAAATGATATTTGTCCGAGGTCCCACTTCTCGGAGGTAGTCACCCTGGAACTGAACCCAAGCCGTCTGACTGCAGGGTCCATGCTCTTTACTTACTCTGCTAGGCTGTATATAACATTTAGTTCCCTTATCTGCGATCTGTCTATAGATTGAGGAACAGAAAGGCTATTTGAGAGAAAGCCGTTTTGTACCTTCAGTAATTTGTATGTTATGCTAGGGAAAGTAATGAGATGGCAGCAGAGGGGCATGGGGAGTATACTTTCAGTGCATTTCCAATTTTCACCTGATTACCTTGGAGCTTCCCTGTGCAAATGCGTATAATGTTACGGGAAATAGTGCAGAAGCAGGAAGATGTCTCTGTTGGTTTGGGTGCATATCTGGTCTTAATATTGTACTTCTAGAAAACTCCCCCAAAAGGAGATCACCCATACTCCATTAAGCAGATCCAGGATCATTCCGTTCAGCTTCACAAATACACCCTGATTTCGTATCTGCCTTGTGCTGCAGCCTGTGCTAGGCGCGAGAGACCCAGCAATAAATACCATGGCATCTAAGACACTGTGCTTGCCCTCCAGCACTATTATGATTCTAGGTCCTGAGGTGGTAACATTGGTGAAAACCCTGGTGTGTGGAAATTACACCCCCTAAAGAAAGGAAACATGGGTATTTCTTATATGGCTCAAAGTGGGCAGCTCATAAAAACTCAATGTGGCAAAGTCACCACCACCCGTGCGATTATCCCAGAGAATGGTGCGCAGTCTGGTTCTATTGAACCTCGATGTGGGGAGGGGAAGAGGCAGGGCTTGAACTTGGCTTAGTCCAAAAATGTGTTTCTTTCATGACTGGACTGAACAATGCGCTTCTTCTCCCCACCAGGACCCCAGGAGCAAGCACAAGTTTAAAATCCACACTTATGGAAGCCCCACCTTCTGCGATCACTGTGGGTCATTGCTGTATGGACTCATCCATCAAGGGATGAAATGTGACAGTAAGTAAGTTTTCTTTTCCACTAGATCAGGTGAGGCTCTGCCGTGTACGTGCAGGGTTTGCAGGGCACTTTGGGTTTAGTAACTTTTCAACACGAACTCATCAATAAAAAGACCCTATTCGGGGGCACCTCGGTGGCTCAGTCGGTTAAGTGTCCGACTTCAGCTCAGGTCATGATCTCACCATTGATGAGTTCGAGCCCCGTGTTGGGCTCTGTGCTGACAGCTGGGAGCCTGGAGCCTGCTGCGGATTCTGTGTCTTCCTCCCTCTCTGCCTCTCCCCGGCTCATGCTCGCTCGTTCTCTCTCTCAAAAATAAACAAACATTTAAAAAGATTTTTTGAATAAATAAAAAGAACCCGTTCAAATACATACCACACCAGAAAAGTATAGGATCGCTCCACTGTCAGTGTACTGATTTATTAAACTACTTACTTGCCTGATTGTGAACCCCCCCCACACACACACACACAAAAAGAACACCCGATTTATAAATGAAGTTAGTACTGTCACAGTTTTTTGTGGTGGAAATCTTCCATCACTGTAAAATGCAGGCTACTCAAACCCCAAAGCAAATGCCATGTGTTGAAGGTAGACTCCCCCACCTCCAGATTCCACATTTGGTTAGGCTTCACGATAAGCTAAGCAACCCTAGTCATTATCTTCCTGTGTCTCTAATTAGTGGGTGGACTGTGGAAAAATCCAGTAGGCTCTCCTTAAAACTGAAACTACAATGAAAATAAAAACCAGACATCTTAAGTTTGCTCACCCTGCACGTTCATGGACAGATCAAGTTTCTGTCAGTCCAGTTAGAGATGCAATCACGAAGACCGTGGACAAGGCATCAGCCCCCCTGCATTCTCCATTTTTGTCCTGCGTGTATTGTCATCAAGCACCAGGTAGAAGGAAAACAACTATGGAAACTCTTTGTTTTGATCGTTCTTATGAGATTCTCCAGGCCGTTTATCTGTTTCAATAATGGTTTCTACTTTCAGGACACAAAAAGGTAATTACCGAACCTGTTTTTCTGGTAGACAGGAGAGTGTTGGGGAAACATCAATATATTGCCATTCGTTAAATATTGCTATTATGGCCAAAAGCTTTGTGTGTCCTGCATGGAACGAAGGCGGTGTATATACAAATCAAGGTTAAATGAACATTATAGAACAGATGGATGGTGTCTCAGCACATGGGGGTTCTTCACCTTAGAGAGCTGTCAAATTTAACAGCCTAAACAAAACCTTTGTGATGATCCAGACCAGTGGTTTTCTGTGTTTTGAGAAACCCTGGGATTCCAAAGACATGGTTTTTCAGGGATTCTGCGAATGTGAATTCTAAGTGCATTTGTAAATACACTCCTAAGTATTTTAAAACTTGGAACAAGAGTGAACGCTTCATTGTGTTACACACTCAAGCTTGACAAGTTGGAGATGATGGTGGAGACCGTGTTCTGCCAGCTTTACTCACGGGGCTGAGCGTGCAGCCAAGTTTCTGCTGCCGAATCCACTTAACCGAAGAGCCAACCAGGTTGTATGTTGTCGAACAACATTTACCATCTCTACATATGCTTCTGTTCTGAGTCTGGATTTGGGGTTGCGGGACAACTTTAACAAAGCACAGAAGTAAGTGCCCTGTCAGGGCTGAACCGAGACAGCTGGTTTCACAGTTCTGTTTGGATCAGGGGGCTCTATAGGTTATCCACGAATGTCTTCATACCGAATAAATGGTATAAATTTGAATTTGTTAACTAGGCTTATGCTAATGAAGGAACACTCATCTGGTTTATATGTTGGGATTCTGCTTAAGATTTTGTTGGAAAGATGGGTCCCGCTACTAAAAAATTTTGAAAGCCGCTGAACTGGGCCAGTGCTTTTGTTTGGTTTTGTTTTGTGGTCAGCTCTTTTCCTTGGAGTCGTATGGCTTCTGGGGCCTGTGCTCCTTCCTCAAGGGAAGCCAAGAAGCTCACGGGTGCCAGGACCCCAACACCTCCCTTAACTTCCACAGAGAAGGTATCTCTTTCTGTGCTTCGCACGTCGTAGGGTTACAATACTGTGTCCAATTCTGCTTGGTAGGGGAACGACCTTAGCAACCGCTGTCCAGAGCAGCCACTTGGTTTGCAGAGTAGGAAATGGGATCAGAGAGAGCACTTGAGTTTTCCAAGATCTCAAAGCTGCTAATGGGGGAGTCAAGACAGGGATACAACCCAGGGCACTTTTGCGTCCCTGTTGTGCCTGTCCTTTGCAGAGAGGCTGGCCTTTATTTCTTCCAAGTTACAATTCTGCCCAAGCACTTACAGACCGGATGTGGTTACTACAAGTCCGATGGATAGCACACCTTTTCAGGAGCGTCTATATTGGCTGCCTCAAGGTGTTTGATTCTGAATGGTTAGCTTCAGAAATAGAAACCTAAACAGAATTCACGTTTGTGAATCAGCCAATTGTCCTTTCCTCATTTGTGACCATTATCCTCCTTTCCGCCTTGAATTATAGCAAATATATGTTATTTGCGATGCTTTTTGCAATTTACCTCACCATGTTAAACACTCAAAATGAAATGAACACGAAGGCTCCACCTTGAATGCTACGGAAGAGCCTCGTATCATCCCATTGGGGGCGTGTGAGGAGTCCAGTGGCCATCGCTCCTCTTGGCAGCCTGAAGGGACAAGGGCAATAGAGCTGGAACACCTACACAGGCACTCATGTTTGCGTTCAACACACAGGATTCTCTCCAGAGTTTCTTTGGTTCACGGCACTAAGACTGATCTTTTTATTCCTCCCTATCTCACCCACGTAATGTCAGCTGGTAAGGAATGGCTCAGCATGCCAGGCATGTATTTGTTTTACTTAGAATAATATTTAAATATTTGAAGACAGGTTTAAAATCTCAAATACAAGTTCTTTAAAAAAAAAAGAATGCAACGTACTGAAGCCTTCTGAGATACAGAGTTAACTAAGGCAAGAAATTTTCCAAACTTCCTGTACTCGCCCCATGGACTCATATTCTTGCTGAGTGGTCAGCTCAGAAAGGCATAAGAAATTATTTGGCAAAGAATATCCTCTGTTTAAAATGTGCATATAATTTGCCTCTGCGTGCGTGAAATACTAAGTAGTCTGTGCTTTGTATGCATTTACCTGTGTGCGTTCTGTAGTGTTAAATATTTGAAGCATCCACAGACGAGCAGGCAGGGGTATTTTGCTTCAGTTAAGACTGGACAAATATGGCACGGGTATTTTAAGGATATTGTCACACGGAGCCTGTGTGGTAAGGGACATCTGCTAACAGTTCTTGGTGTCACCAAAAACATTATAGCAAAGTATCGAGTTAGAGGGTAGCTCATTTTCACTTGTGCTCATACAGCAAAACACTGAGGAGGTGATGGTTTGAGCCCATATGTCCAGCCTTACCCTTTGCTTTCTTGATTCACAGCCTGTGATATGAACGTGCACAAGCAGTGTGTGATCAATGTCCCCAGCCTCTGTGGGATGGACCACACAGAGAAGAGGGGCCGGATCTACCTGAAGGCTGAGGTCACCGATGAAAAGCTCCATGTCACAGGTAAGGCATGCTTGTGGAGGTGTGAGGCATGCGCAGCTTCTCCGAGGGCGTTGGGGTCCAGGTCAAAAGGGTCCGTCACCGCCTCGGAGCTGGTCAGACTCCGAGCCACCGATTTCCCATGAACACGCCTCCCTAGAGACCACACTGTGTGCCTGCCCACTTCCCAGCTGCTCCAGCGCCTTAGAGTCAGAACTGCCGTGGAGACGGAGGTGCTCTGACGGCACGGCCCGTGTACCGTCCCCCGGTGACAGGGGGACAGGGAAGCCAATTAAACAAAATGCCGTCGGTGGGAGTGCACCAGGGTGGGGGGAGATGGGTGGATGATCCAGATGTGTAATGGCCTCGGGCTGCGGTGACCCAATCAGCCCACCCTCTTGAGGACACCAACAGGAAACAGGAAACAGCCATCACATTATCGAGTTACGCTTCCTCTGCATCAGGTGCTGAGAATTTCACCATAGATCATTGATTTAGTCCTCTCAACCACCCGCACAGTGGCCTCATTTCCCAGAAGAGGAAACCGAGGCAGAGAGAGATGAGAAATTGGGAATGTCACAGAGCAGGTGAAGAGCCAGGGTGGAACTGTGCCATTTCGACTCCAGACCCCCTGCTTCTCCTTGTGGCACCAAGGGTGCCGCCTGTAAACAATGCAGTCGGGGGGACCAGGATTCCCCGCCCACGGCCCAGAACATTCCCTCCCGGGGGCTGTGTCTGTGTGGGCTGTGCCAAAGCATGGCCTTTCCTTTGGTTTCCCACTAGATCCACTCTGGGCGTCTCCACAAGATACCCAGAAACAAGTCGTCCTAGAGACTTGTTGGCCCAGGACTCATCATGTGTCCTCAGACACTTGGCCGATCTTTTCTGTGGTCCACTCCATGTCGATTTATGGTTTTACGGTCCGTCGTCAGCCTTCTGCCTTGTTTCTGTGTCCTTGGGGTTCCCTCATGTGCTACCATACCCTCTTTTTTCTCTCCCAGGGGTGTTCGTTTTCATTTGAGTAGCGAAGGTATTATGTTTCCGTTTGTATTTAGGAAGTTTAAGCTATCAAACAAATGGAAAGACCGTGCTGTTATTTATTTGTAAATAACCGAAGGTACTGTAGAAGGAAGACTGGCAGGGTCCCTTGAAGGGGGTGGGGGGTGGGGAGAGGAGGAGTTCCAGAGGAAGCTCGCTGCTGAAAACATCCTCAGGTATTTCTTAGTTTGAAAAATAATCCACCTCTCTACCCAGTGCTGCCCCCTCAGGTAAGACTTTAGAGAAAAATCAAAAGATGTTGAGGTGCTGCTAAGAAAGGGTCAACACGCTTCGCCACTGGGGTCACCTTGTGAAAGAAACCAGACGTCGCTAAGGGTCAAGACCGATTTATGAATCACATCCTTGTCATGGGCACACAATCTGTTTTGACCTTCTGGTTTTAGGGACGTTCCTTCGTTTTCTCAGGCCATTGCTTTGCACCCTCGCCTCTGGGGCCGCGGCTCTCACCTCCGTTTCCCTTTGACTGGACTGGCGCTGCTGGTGGGGTCCGCTCTGCCCTCTGGGCTGGCGGCCAGCGCTCCTCTGGCCTTGAGGGCATCAGCGCTGTCTGCCCGGAGGAAGTGAGGCTCCTTGGGGGCCATGAGAATGTCCCCCAGTGACAGGGGGACAGGGGCCATGCCTTGGGGGCCATGACAGTGTCGGTACCGTCACACCTTTACCCTTGCTCTCTTTTCTACTGAGGCTCTTGCCTCATCGACGTCATGTGCTGGGAGCAGGGAGTGTGCAGTTTGGGAGAAAATGACCACAAAGCAGTGCATGGTAAGGGATTCAGAAGCATAATGTAGACTGCCTATTGGCTAAACATTTCAGTGTTTTTCCTTCGCTTTATAAAGCTACTGCTGTTGGCAATATAATAGACCTCGCAGGCGAACAGTCGGAGCCTAATTGTGAGGTGCACAGCCCACTGTGAGACCGGAATGCCGGGGCAGGGTTTTTAAGTGTTCAGCTCTCATTCATCCTGTTTCCGAATACAGCAAAGCAGCCTGCACGCTGCACCTGCCCCATGCCTTCTCCTGGCATAAAAGCAGCAACCGTGTGGAGCCGCCCGGGTTTTCCACAGTCTCCTCCGAGCCTTGAGAGGCTTGCACGTGTAAAACCGCACCGAGGGGCACAGATGCCTGGCTGGAGTGGCACGTGGTACAGAAGACAAAGGCCAGGTCCCATCCTGCAGGGTCAGCAAGGAGTGTGGTCCTAGGGCTCCCACACTAACTGCCCCACCATTGCCTACAGTTGAACCTGATTCACAACTGTAAGATCATCTTAGGAGACAACACCCTTCACTGAGTTACACTTCTCACGCAGGAAAGCCAACGAGCGTAGCTTACGGCAACAATCTAAGTCAAGTCTCTTGAGAATTGGTCTAAAATGTTTTGCCTAGATCTAGCTCTAGGAATGTGAATCCAGCAATGGCTTCATAATAATGGCAACAGCAGCTAACGTGAGTGATGCCCACAAAGGAGGTACTTCCTTTTTTTTTTTTTAATTTGAGAGAGAGAAAGTGATAGGGGCAGAGGGAAAGAGAGAGAGAGAGAGAGAGAGAGAATGAATCTCAAGCAGGCTCCACACTCAGCACAGAGCCCAAAGCAGGGCTCAATCCTAGGACCCTGGGATCATGACCTGAGCTGAAGTCAGGAGTCAGACGCTCAACCAGCTGAGCCCATCCGTGCCAAAGGGCCATTTTCTAAGCACCTGGCATAGTTAAACTCTACAAACCTGTGTGGAAGTTTACTTTGTTACCCTTACTTTATAGATGAAGGTACAAAAAAATTAAGTGACTCATGCCAAGTCAAGTAGGTGGTAAATTTAGTAGTTAAGTGTTTAATCGCTAGAAGTAGAGAGATTTCAATGATAGTGTCAGTAAGAATTGGAACCTCGTCTTAATTCTGGCTGCTATAATAAATACTATAGACTAGGTGGCTTAAACAACAAACATTTCTTTAGCGCGGCTCTGGAAGCTGGGAAGTCCAAGATCAAAGTTCTTGGTGAGGATTCTTATTTTGGTTTGTAGATGATTGTCTAGCTATGTCATCACTTGGGAGCGGAAAGAGAGAGGAAGGGTGTGTCTTCTTATAAGAGCACCAATCCCATCGTGAGGTCCCTGCTGTCATGACTTCATTATTTCCCCAAGGCCCCATATTCAAGCAGTTAGGGGTTCCCATCACCTTAGGGGTTAAGGATTCAACATATGAATTCTGGGGGGACACATAATTCATAGCAAATCTATTTTTTTTAAATATGTTTATCATTTATGTCAAGGAAACCTAATCCTAAGTAGGAAAAGCCCCAAACTCAAGGAACTAAGTAATAATCATTTGCCCAGAACTTTTAATTTGGAGTAATTTGAGATTTTCAGAATCAGAGTTAACCTTAATGTAATGAGAACACACAAAAAAAAACATAAGTAGAGCTTACCGTCCAAATGCAAAGAAAATAAAAATTCCAGTAGTACAGGGTTCCCTTCACCCAGTCCCCTTCTGCCATATTAACGTTCTTCTGTGACCATAGTTGAAGCATCAAAGTAGACACGTTTTTATTTTTATTATTTTTTGGATATTTATTTTTGAGAGAGCATGAGCAGGGGAGGAACAGAGAGAGAGGGAGACACAGAATCTGAAGCAGGCTTCAGGCTCCACACTATCAAGCACAGTGCCCGACGCGGGGCCCGAACCCTGGAACCGTGAGATCGTGACCCGAGCTGCAGTCAGACGCTTAACTGACTGAGCCACCCAGACACCCCAGTAGACATGTTTTTAAATAGTACCTGATAAACTTCTAGAAAACAGGTTCCTGTGTAGCTGTAGTTAGTCACTAGAAATTGCTTTAAAAAGAGCCAAAGAGAAGACTTCTGATGTCTCTTATTCCCGTGGGAAAAGACTACAAGAACTACAGCGTGAAGCCCCTTTGGAGCAGAACCTACTGGTGATCCTCCCCACCCCCCACCCCTCCCCCCGCTGCATTACCTGCCCAATCTCCTAACCTAGTAGTTTCAGGCACAAGTTTGTCTTAACGCATTTTAAATAACAGTAGCTACCATTTATTGAGTACGTACTCTGTACTCAGTGTTTATAAGACTGGACCTTTCTTTGTGCTGAGTGCTTTCCCTTCCTTGTTCCAGTGACCCCTCAAACAGTGCCACAAATTGCTATGATCATATATCCTTGCTTTCGAGTCGTGCGAATGAGCCGAGAGAAGGGAAGAAATGGTAACGAAATGGAAAGTGATGGCGGTAGAGCTCCAGTCCACGTCCGACGCCCCGGGGGGGCTTTCAGCCCCGAGGCTGCGAACCTCCCAATTCTCTCCCTATTAAAGGGACTCCTTTTGAATAAATAGCAAGCCCATCTTCACTCCACAGGCTCTGTGAAGGTGCAGAAGGTCCAAATGTGAGACTTAAAGCCAGGGGAGAAAGAAAGTAACTTTAAAAGGAATTAATAGACAGTCCAAGCACATGTAAAATTAAATGCTTAATGACATGGGTGCTAAATGATATGCCATGGAGGAGACTGAGAACTGCAGACACTTGGAAGAACCCGGTATACACAGTGAACCATCACCAGTGGAGCTTATGTCCCAATGCGAGTGCTATCTTGGAAAACGCTTTTAAACCCTGAGCAGCTGTGTTAATGGTTAGATTCGCTCATCTCCATTTTTACCTGTGCAGAATCGCTCAAATTGAAACTAATTCCCAAATTAAAATAGAAACTCCCAACAGACTCCTGCTTTGGGACAGAAATCTGCCTTTTGAAACCAGAGATGAGTTTCCTTTCTAGCTTGGTACAGCATTCATGGGAAAGGGCTCCACGTTAGTGGTATATTTTTATTTTTTTGCCTTTGGGCAGTGGCGCTGATGTTATCTGAACTGTGTCATTTTTATTTCTTTCAATATGCGGTTTTAATAGGTTTTCTACATTCTTGTGCGCTCTTTTATTTGGCTTTTGGAGGAATGGTAAAAAAAAAAAAATTCCCTC